TTAATTTAGACTAGTTTTTTAGACCATTACTCTAATAAAAAAATTTTAACAAATATGTCACAAAAAAATATTTAAATTTCAAAATTGCTATTACTCTATATATTGATATATATTCTATTCATACTAATTATCTTCAACTACTATAATTTCACTTTCTGATCCTTCACTTTTTATTTCAATTTCCATATTTAATTCTATTTTGAATCCAACTTTTTAAACAAAGGTATGCTTTAACTATTTCAGGATGTAATCATTTATATAATTTAAAAATGCTTAAATATAATATGTAAAAATATGTCTATTTCTTTTTCAGGTTTTTACTAGACTTTTTTTATCATCTTGATACTTAATACTTAAATTAACTACTTCTTCTAAGCCATTAAGTTCATAAGTTAAAATATCTACTACTAAAAACTTAGCTTAAGTGATTTTGACTAAGGATTCATAACTTTTTTTAGAATTCTTTTTTTCTAAGCCTTCTCAATTCAGCACTAAGAGGCAGTTAGGATTAGAATACATTAAATGAGAAATGCCAATTTGGTAGTTATATAAGGTTAGGGGTAATCGATCAATAAGATGATAAGACCATCTTTTATAAACTATTAAAAAAGACTGATATTATGATTAGTCTTATTGATTTATCCTAAAAATAATTTAGTCCTATAACTAGATTAATAGTTTTTTAATCTAGATCGAATTGTTTTAACTATTCTAGCGTTATCTTCTTAAAAAGCATTATAATATAGCAAAGTCACAGTTTGTTTATATGTAATCACTGAAAAAATTTTTTTTTGATAAAGTTTTTTTTTTACAATTTTTTCAAAAATTTAAAAATTATTTTTTTAAACTTAATTAATTATCTATTTTTCTACTTTTTCATGCAAATTTTCAAATAAAAGAGTATTGAATTTATGATTTTTTAAGATTTTATTTTAAAGTTTATTTTATTATACTTTTTTTAATAAAATAATAATAAATTTATTTTAAATATCTCGTATTATGAATATGTCTTTTCTAAGTTAATGACTTAATTTTCTCTTGCATCTTAATAATTGAATTAAAATTTTTTTCAATACTTTTACCCTATTTCAGATTTTCAATATCTCTTTGTTCCTTTAATATTTAAAGTATATTTTTAGTAATTGTAATTAATTTGTTATATAAATCTTCACATTCACATTCTTTATATTTACTATTATTATCACTTTCCAAAGAATCTTAATTCTTTAGATTTAAAAATAAAAGGATATGAATTATTTTGAGTTATTGTATTGAAAAAATTCAAATTCACCTTTCCTTTTTATTTAACCAAATGTTTATATAAAAGAAATGGCTTGTTAAAAAGTATTAGCATCTACATATTCAGTTACACATAACTGTAAAATATTGTTCAGTACTTAATTGCTATTTTACAAGTAATTTTTATTCTTTTTTAAAGGTAGATTTCTAGTCTGGCTTTTCTCTTTCTATCATTATTTGTTCAAATTTTCTCTTTTGATATACAATTACTTTTTTATTAATAATAATATAAATCATTAAATCAAGTCTTAGGCAGAAAAATTTATACAAAAAATCATGTTTTAAAACTTTCCAATGGGTCTTTACAAACATTGTTATTTTTAATATAGAAATTTTAGAATTATTTCTAACTCTTATTCAAAGATACCAATGACTATTAGAATACCATTCTTTTTACATATAATTCCAAAGCCAAGGTAAATTATTTTGAAAGCAAAAGCTATACATTTTATATACTGCATTTGTTCAAATTTTTTTATTAGATTCTTGCATTTCATTTTTATTAGGAATTAGAATATGTTGATGAAGGTGAATATTCATTAGATTCTAGCAAGATTTTCGTAATTCTTTTAGATAGAATTTTGTATTTCGTAGCATTATTAAAAGTTAGTAAAATTTAGGGTTTATAAAGAAAAATATTCGCTTCGCAGTATATCCATTATAAGTATTTTATGTGACTATTTAATTTAACTATAGGCGCTTTGTTATAGCTCTATTTATATGCCAATAATAAAGCTGAATTTTAGCATTTGGCAAGTTGAATGACATGCTTTAATTTGTGTCTAGTCTTTATCTGTTAAAATAAATTCAGGATCTAATCCTTTTTCTTTGAGTTATAATACAAATTTTATAATTATTTCAGTTCTAATGGCATCATCATACTTTCCATTATGTTCTAGAAATAAGTAAGCTAAAGAAAAACCAGTTCCATCCACTTCAGAATGTAAGTTATATAATTTAAAACGCAAATTGTTTGTGTTATCTATTTTAAAATAATTTAATGTTATTTATATATATAAAATGTAAATTAACGAAAAAAATTATTTATTTTATAATATACAACTTACATGTAACATTAATTTCAAGTTCCTTAATTAAGATATTATTTTCAATTAGCATTTAATGTAATCCTGTTTCAAAGCAATAGCTTGTACTAATGAGTTAATATCTAGTATTTTTGTGTAATTATATTTCTCTAATAAAGCCTTGGCTAATATAAAGGCATTAGAATCTCTTTTTGTACCTAGTTTTTCCTAATTTACTTCATCAAAAATAAATTTGATTTTAGCAAATTTCTGATCTAAACCATTTTTCACAAGACGTGTATAGATATCTTTTAGTAATAAATCAATATTTTACTAATAAAGTCTTTTATACATTTAGGTATGCTAATTTTCTTAGGTTATTCATGCAATATTTTATGAATAATATTTACTGATACTATCTTCATTTCAAGGTTAATGTCAATATTAATTTCTTTATAACAATCAAATCATTTCATAAAAGGAGTGTCACATTACTTTTCAGGATTAAAATATTTTCAGGTTTTTTTGTACAATTAGATTTTTGAGAGCATTTATACTGAAAACTAACTTCTTAATTATTTTTTACATTATATCGCTCATTATGAAATCTATATTTATTTAATTAATAAGCATATAAGTATTAATATATCATGAACAAAACACTGAATTTAAACATATCTCCAATTGAAATTATCTGTATCACTTATTTTTTCTATTATACCTTCTGCAATATTCTTGAATAAGTTATCATTTAACATTATTATATTAAGAGTCTTTTTAAAATCAAGATCATTTTCTTTATTTTTTTCGTCTCTATCTTTAAATTCTTTAAAATAGATAAATATTTATCAATAAATTCGTCATATTCAATCAAATCAATAATTTGGTATTCAATTTCTTTTCTTTTCCACTTCTGATTATTATGAATTGCCTTTTTCTGGTTTCAACATATTGAATATGTGCTGTAAGTTTTATTTAAACCTGAAAATAATTCAATTGAACAGGTCTGTTAACATCCTGAATATTTTTTACTTTTACTTATAATTTCTATTTCTTATAAATACAATATAATATTAATAAATATAAAATATAAAATTAAATAAAAATATAGAAAATTACCATTAAAATTTGATATTTATTATTTGTATTGAAAATTTTAGTTCAAGTTCTTTAAAAAAAATAAATAATTATGTTATTAAATCTATGCATCACAAAATTTGATTATATATGATATCACATAAATAAACTGTAGCTTTACTATATTATAGTGTTTTTTTAAGGTAATGCTAGGGTAATCAATCATTCTCATCCCTAATTGTAATAATTACGATCTAAATCAATAAAAAAAATTTTTTTAAAAAATTAATTTAAAATTTTTTTATTTATAAAATGACAATTATTGACAAAATAAAAAAAGATAAAGAAAAAGCAGAAAGAGAGTATAAAGAAGTAAAAGTAGAGTTGAAAAAGTTCAAAGAAGGAGAAGATGACAGAAAGTGACTAAAAACATTAAAGATTAAGTTGATTAGAAGAGAATATGAGGATGATAGATAGAAGAAAGAGTGGAAGGAGATGGTAAAGGAGTTAAAAGAAGAAAAAGAGAAGTTGGAGAAGAAGATAGATGGTTGAGAGGAATAGGTTAAGTTGTTACAAAACAAACTAAGTAAGTTCAATAAAGGTAAAAGTAATAAACAAATTGCATTAAAAAAAAAAAATTATTTTTTGTTTATTCCATTTTATTTATTTATTTATTTAATATACTTTTTAATAACTTTAACTGACCTATGCTTTTCAATTTCTTATTGTGTATTATCAAATTCATGAAGGGAAATGAAAAATTGAATTTGAAGAGTTCAAGTACAAATTATGCTAACTTTTATTTAAAGTATTTTGTTTTTTTTTCATATTTTTCATTTCTACATATTTTTTAGGTTTTAAAAAAATGAAAAGCAAATGAAGCAGTAACAGCAATAGAGAGAAAAAAGCAGTACTTCACTGATCCTGTTAAATAGAATTCGCCACTTCTTAAGAAAATTATTGAATGTTTTTTTTAATGCTATATAGTGTGAGAGTCTCAGGTAAATAATTTCTGTGTATTGAATTATGGAACAGTTAAATAAAAATTCCTATTTATACGTATAGTAAGTTCATTAATATATATTTATTTACATCCTAAAATACTGCTTTTTGCTAATTATAATATTGCTTGGCAATAGTGTAAGACTTGTATAGCCTTTTACAAACTTCTTAGAATAAATTTCTGAAACTTTTCAAAGAATGATCCAATTCTATGATTTTATTTATTGATGAATTTGATAAACTATATTGGTTAAATGAAAAAATTAAAGATAACATTTTAGAATCTTAAATAACAATAAAACTGACCTATTCATTCAGTAATTGCTATTGAGACATTTAGTATACTTTATTTGGATACAAATAATCCCTATATGTCTCCTTTAATATTGTAGAGCAATATCAAAATCCAAATTTGCTATTTAAATAAATCAATACTTTATTTGAAGAATTTGCAAATAATAGAGACCTTGATATTGATCCTTTGGTGATCAAAGATGTCTATACTTTAACAAATGGGTAAGCATAATCCTTTATGATATCTTTTTTTAAAATATATACTAAGAGAAATTTGATATTTCTGTTAATTTTATTAAAGACATGCAGGATTTACTTGCCTTTGTGAACGTGCTATTGATGAAAAACTACAACCAGTTGACTTTAATGGAAGATAATGTATTACTTACCAATGTTGGCAAAGGTTTAAACTTAGGATATTACCACAAGAAATAAGGAGGTATAGAATATTTTATAAAATGATTAATAACCCCAAAAAGTTCAATTTATGGAAGCTGTAAAGTATCTCTGTAAATTTCTTCTTGATGCTATAGAATTTACAGAAGTTTCTGATAGTCATAGTCGATTAGTAGTATTCTTAGCAGCAGAAGGTGTCTTGATGCCTTTTAATAGCTTCTTAAAAATGATCAAACTATCTTCTTCTATGGTTGATACACACATTAAAATAGATATTCTTGCAGAATTATTTTCATATGCATCTTAAAATGAGATTCCTCTTAATAAATATCAGAAACTTGATATTCTTAAGATACTTCAAATAGTTGTTACTTTTTTTGATGTGAATCTCATTCATCTGGCACCTTTATGTTATTTTAAGAAAGTAATTGTATCTGTTAATGATGAAAGTAGGATGAAAGTTCCTAAAAAAGGCATTTATGATTAGAAATTAATAAGGATCTTGAGAAACTGACTTGTTTAATATACTGTTACTAAACAATGATACTTGACAGGAGTTGGTCAGGATGGAAGCTATATACATTATTATGTTAACATTGTAATCAATAATAATGAAGAAGTTATTATATTTGAGTTTATAACTATAGTTAATCAATCAAACTTAGAAAACATTTTAATCATGCTTTAATAACCTAGCTGTTACTGCAATTTGGATTGTGTATTTTACCTATGATAATAAATATTGTAAGGCAGAGAATCCTATATATCAATCTGAAGAATAGAAAATTCAAAGATTTAATGTTGTTCATTTTTGGCATAATAAAAAATTTGATGATGTATAAATATATGTATGTTTGAAAGATGGTAAAATTGTGTAAAAGCAAGTGATATCTCAAACAAATGAAGTATAATTTTTTATGTCATTACACATTATGTATGTAAGTATTGACTTTAAAAGTTGATATAAGAGACATTAATATCTACAATTATTTGAATTATCTGTTTCTATTATATATATATAAAATAAACATTTAAAGGATTTTTGTATTAAAAAGAAAAATTAATAAAAGAAGTTATTTTTAATAAATTGTTCTAAAACTATTACAGCTAATTTTATTATTTATAGATCATCTGGTAAATTTTAATTTTGAGATTTTTATAACATGTGATATATAACAAATGAGACACAGATATATAATGTAAAAATATGTGATGCATACAGTAATACGTTGTCACGATGGTTTCGTGGCTTCAAATAAAATCTCAAAAGGGATAAATAAAACTAAGACAATTACTCAAGGGATCATGGGTGAGGATTCACAATAACGTCGAAGAATTATTCTCAATATAAATCACGTGATGTAAACACAAAATAAACACAAAGATAACTCAAAGATATTTCAGAGATTACGCTTCAGAGACTCCAAGTCAATACAGC